AATATATACTGTATTACGACGCTGAGATGTTTTTTTATTTAGCACTTATATAATGATAAAGGCTTTTTTATCTCTTAATTTTCAAGACCGGGAAAGACGTCAGCTTCTTAATGTGTAATTGTTATTCTTGAGAACCCGCCACGACGTCCAGGATATTTATTTTTGCGAAGAACTGAAGGTTCTAGAGACAATAAGGCGAGACGTTAAGCCACGTTTCCTTTCACCTAATAACTGTTCAGCTAGCAGTAAGTAAAGGCTTCCTGTCCCTGACAAACGGGAATTATATGAAATATAAATTGGTGGAGCAGAAAGAGATGCGGGTATAAGGAACTCAAATGAGTGGCATCACTGATCGTTTGTATGACAGAAGAGAGCTGCGGGGAGGGTAGAAATAGCCTAAGCTACTCTATCCCTTTTGAGATGTATTTTATTGTCTTAATAAACATATTTGAACTTGAAGAGAGCTGTTTGGGGACTTTTACTGGTCTGCCTTTTTTTACAGCATAGTTTGTGAACTACACTTATTCCTCGCAGTGCTTCAGAGTGTGCATGTATATGTAGGGAAAATATAAAAACTACAGTTAATAAAGGCTTGTGTTGGGTGCACATCGGGACCAAATAATGTGGCTGAGCCTCGCAGACATATCTTTCAACGGTTTCCGGAAATATCCGTTCAAAAGTTACACTTTTATATACTTCAGTTCCCCGGCATGTTTCATTAGTCTTCTTGGGGGTTCCCAACGTCATTAAACTGATGTACTAAATTTCGCGGATCTAACCTAACCGAGGACCCAGGAATAGAAAACGGGACATCACGTCAATTTTGCGAACCACTATGATTTTTAGTGCATCAGTTTTTTACCTTAGGGGATTTATCTGTCAAAATGCAATGTACTATTCAAGAGGCCGGATTGATTTAAGATTAATGGTTCATTTGTACGCGGACACATTGTTTTGTGTGACCAAGTGAATATCTGGCCACCATATCCTCCGGGCAAAGCTGGTGAAACCAGGTTTGTATAACAAATCAACGTTGATAACGTTAATCCAACGTTGATTAAACGTTACTCAAGTCTGTTTTGCCTGCTGGATATAATAGTTAGTGTCCATCATGTCTTGGCACGTCCCTGGACGCTAGTGACAGTGAGTGAAGGGCAAACTCCCGCCAATATTAGCCTTCTCCATCCCACAAGTAAATCTAAAAATTACACGTTTCGTATTTTTTGAGTTAACGATCAGTGACGCCTAGTCATGCAATATGAGAATTAATAATTCCGCTGAGCCGCGGTATAGAAGCAAAACAAGAAGTGTCACCCACATTTCGTCCTTATGTTAACAATGACCCTAGCACTCATTAAGACCAAGATGTTCTTTAGTACCGAGTATTGACCTGAATTTACCCGAGACCTACTTAAGTGCCCTTGTCAAGACTCACCCCCCCCCCTAATACAACCCCCCAGTGTTCCCACGGAATATTTTCCGCCAAAAGGAATACAATAACAAAATTTTATGCATGTCAGTTGCTTAATTTAGAAGCTGTACTTGTGGTCGGTCTCGAGCGCATTGTTGATATTACGATGTGCATTGATTATTTTAACTAGCTCATCAAGATTGTAACTTGCCTAGCTAAATGAATTGTGGGGTTCAGTCCCTGAGCCCATTATGTGCCTCTGTAACCCTTTCCACTACCGCCCACAAGATGGGTATGGGGGTACATAATAAATTAACTAAACTAACTAATGTATTAAAACTGTACAAAAACACTTGGTTTGAACAAACATGAATTGTCAGAAACGTGACTCATATCAACACTAAATAGAAGATACAGCTCACCATCTCGATAGTACAGCTGGATTTGTTCTCAATTCACAATCCGGAATCTCGGATTCGAATCCCGGGCGGGATAGAAATGGTTGGGCACGTTTCGTTTCACCTAATGCCTGTGTTCATCTAGGAGTAGATAACTACCCGGAGTTAGATTACTCTTGTAGAGTTGCCTCCTGCAGAGGTTCGACCTTGGTGGGGAGGGACCTCGATATAAACCTAACGTATATACATACACAGGCTGTCTGTCCCCCGAGAAAATTAATATTAATTAATGATAAACTTCATGCAAGACTCACCCGAAACTAAACCAATCACTTTGAACGAGAATGCTACCAAGGCATTTACATGCCCATTTGAGGGTTGTCAGGCTTTGCGTAGATCAGCGGTTTTAGGTTTGTTTTCAGGCTGTGCCCATTCACATAACATAATCCCTAAACAAGCAATCATGCAATATTTTGTGTCCAATTCTCACCTGGAAAGATCATATGGAGTGTGACCGAGGGTGGGCGGTGTGTGGCTGAAGGTGGGCGGGGTGTGGCTGAGGGTGGGCGGGGTGTGGCCGAAGGTGGGCGGGGTGTGGCTGAGGGTGGGCGGGTTGGACTCCATGGTGCCATCTTCCAGTCTCTCACAATGGTCACTGCACACTCCCTCCGCTACTGTTGATTGACGTGAAGGTCTCAACGTCGGCTGGGTGATCACGCTGGACGATCACCACGATACTCATCCACTTGTGTGAAGATGCCTTCAACAGACGACCCCGGACACAACCGTCAGTGTAGAGACTGTCAACTGACGACCAAAGCACGACGTCGCCCGTACCTCACCAAACACGACGTCGTCCGTACCTCCAAAACACGACGTCGTCCGTACCTCACCAAACACGACGTCGCCCGTACCTCACCAAATACGACGTCGTCCGTACTTCACCAAACACGATGTCGTCCGTACCTCACCAAACACGACGTCGTCCGTACCTCACCAAACACGACGTCGTCCGTACCTCACCAAACACGACGTCGTCCGTACCTCACCAAACACGACGTCGTCCGTACCTCACCAAACACGACGTCGTCCGTACCTCACCAAACACGACGTCGTCCGTACCTCACCAAACACGACGTCGTCCGTACCTCACCAAACACGACGTCGTCCGTACCTCACCAAATAGTTCTTGCTTTTATCAAAATTCAAATAGTTGCTGGACCGACCACAAACATTACTCTCTCCTACGGCACAGTATGTCACGCAAATCCATTCATCACACCAAAACTGCTTCCGGAGATGGTATAGACAAGGTCGCCGTCACCTCCCGCTGCAGAATACTGGCTGGCCCACGTCTAGACTGGTCACCATCTGCGCAAGCCTCATGGAGTCCGATTTTTAAGCACCTATAAAAAAAATCGAGACATAATATATTATATATATATTTATATATATAATATATATATATATATATATATATATATATATATATATATATATATATATATATATATATATATATATATATATATATATATAATATATAATAATATTACATAAGCTGCTTGTGTGATGAGGTAATCTTATCGATATACAAAGTTCTCTCCATAAAATAAAAGATTGTTACAAATCATACGATACTTCGTAAGGTTAGCCTCAAATTTAGAGAATCTTTGTCTTAGTTTACCATGAATGTGTTTTTTGTGTGTTTGTGTATGAGATGAACAAGCAACGTAACTGGTAAGCAAACTTATTCACTCGCGCGTTGTGTACCTCACACCAATTCAGTTGGGTCAAAGCATGCACGCAATTGTGAGTGGGCGGGAGGACACGCAAGCACGTTCTCTCACTCACACACACAGTGTGTGTAGTGCGGAGAAAATGCAAAGTTAGTAAACAGTTGATTGGCAGTAGAGAGGCGGGCCGAAAGAGCAAAACTCAACCCCCGCAAAAACACAACTAGGTGCACAACTAGGTGAACACACACACACACACATACACACAAGCTGCAGGAATGGTTGTTAGAGTTTAACCCAAGCAAATGTAATGTAATGCAGACAGATGTAGGGAGCAGGAGACCAGATACAAGGTATCATTTGGGGGATGAAATACTTCAAGAGTCAGAAAGACCTGGGGGTTGATATCACGCCAGACCTGTCCCCTGAAGCTCATATCAAGATGATAACATCAGCGGCATGTGACAGGTTGTCTAACATAAGAACGGCCTTTAGAAACTTGTGTAAGGAATCTTTCAGAACATTATATACCACATATGTCAGACCAATCCTGGAGTATGCGGCTCCAGCATGGAGTCCATATCTAGTCAAGCATAAGACTAAACTGGAAAAGGTTCAAAGGTTTGCCACCAGACTAGTACCCGAGCTGAGGGTATGAGCTACGAGGAGAGACTACGGGAATTGAACCTCACTTCGTTGGAAGACAGAAGAGTTAGGGGGGACATGATCACCACATTCAAGATTCTCAATGGAATCGACAGGGTTGATAAAGACAGGCTATTTACCACAAGGGGCACACGCACTAGGGGACACAGGTGGAAATTGAGTGCCCAAATGAGCCATAGAGATGTTAGAAAGAATTTTTTCAGTATCAGAGTAGTAGACAAATAGAATGCATTAGGACGTGATGTGGCGGAGGCTGACTCCATACACAGCTTCAATTGTAGATATGATAAAGCCCAGTAGGCTCAGGAACCTGTACATTAGTTGATTGGCAGTTGAAAGGCGGAACCAAAGAGCCAGAGCTCAACCCCCGCAAGCACAATTATGTGAGTACACACAGGGGCCTCGCGGCTGAGTGGACAGCACTCTGAGGTCGTAGTCCTAATGATCCCGGGCGGAGGCGGAATTAAATGAGCAGAGTTTCTTTCACCCTCATGCACCCTGTTCACCTAGCAGTAAATATGTACCCAGGAGTTAAACACCTGCTACGTTCTGCTTTCTGGGGATGTGTGTGTTAAGAGAGAAATATATGTAGAAGATATAATAGAAGAAAAATACATTGGTTAGAAAGGCGGAGTCCAAGAGCTAATAGTTCAATTCTGCAGACACAAATAGTAAATACATACACACACAAACATACACACAGACGGGAGACAACGACAGCAACGTACTCCACCAGCGACAGCTGCATACTGTGGGCCGTGTCCAGCGTGTCGTCGCCTGACCCAACCTTTACAACAATGATCGCATGCACCGTGGTGGTCCAGGGCTGGCGTGCATGCACCGTGGTGGTCCAGGGCTGACGTGTATGCCCCGTGGTGGTCCAGGGCTGATGTGTATGCCCCGTGGTGGTCCAGGGCTGACGTGCATGCCCCGTGGTGGTCCAGGGCTGACGTGCATGCACCGTGGTGGTCCAGGGCTGATGTGCATGCCCCGTGGTGGTCCAGGGCTGACGTGCATGCACCGTGGTGGTTCAGGGCTGATGTGCATGCCCCGTGGTGGTCCAGGGCTGACGTGCATGCACCGTGGTGGTCCAGGGCTGATGTGCATGCCCCGTGGTGGTCCAGGGCTGACGTGCATGCACCGTGGTGGTTCAGGGCTGATGTGTATGCCCCGTGGTGGTCCAGGGCTGACGTGCATGCCCCGTGGTGGTCCAGGGCTGACGTGCATGCACCGTGGTGGTCCAGGGCTGATGTGCATGCCCCGTGGTGGTCCAGGGCTGACGTGCATGCACCGTGGTGGTTCAGGGCTGATGTGCATGCCCCGTGGTGGTCAGGGCTGACGTGCATGCACCGTGGTGGTGCAGGGCTGATGTGCATACCCCGCGGTTGTCCAGAGCTGATGTGTATGCCCCGTGGTGGTCCAGAGCTGACGTGCATGCCCCGTGGTGGTCCAGGGCTGACGTGCATGCACCGTGGTGGTCCAGGGCTGATGTGCATGCCCCGTGGTGGTCCAGGGCTGACGTGCATGCACCGTGGTGGTTCAGGGCTGATGTGTATGCCCCGCGGTGGTCCAGGGCTGGCGTGCATGCACCGTGGTGGTGCAGGGCTGATGTGCATGCCCCGCGGTTGTCCAGAGCTGATGTGTATGCCCCGTGGTGGTCCAGGGCTGATGTGTATGCCCCGCGGTGGTCCAGGGCTGGCGTGCATGCACCGTGGTGGTGCAGGGCTGATGTGCATGCCCCGCGGTTGTCCAGAGCTGATGTGTATGCCCCGCGGTGGTCCAGGGCTGGCGTGCATGCACCGTGGTGGTGCAGGGCTGATGTGCATGCCCCGCGGTTGTCCAGAGCTGATGTGTATGCCCCGTGGTGGTCCAGGGCTGATGTGTATGCCCCGTGGTGGTCCAGGGCTGGCGTGCATGCACCGTGGTGGTCTAGGGATGATGTGTATGCCCCGCGGTTCTCCAGAGCTGATGTGTATGCCCCGTGGTGGTCCAGGGCTGATGTGTATGCCTCGTGGTGGTCCAGGGCTGGCGTGCATGCACCGTGGTGGTCTAGGGCTAATGTGCATGTCCCGTGATGGCCCAGGAATGTTGTTCATTCTCCATAGTGATTCAGAACTGTTATCCGTGTCCCACGTGGTCCAGGAGTCCAGATTGGTTCGTAGAAATACCCCAAAACCTCTAAAAACTCCATAAATATTTAAGAAATATAACTTATGATTTTAATGTTAGTGATGTAAAATGAATGGATGTGTAACGTTAAATAGTGTTACTTTTACTCTGAATTATTCAAATTTTATGACGAAATAAGGTCAATTGGTCAGAAAATATTGCATTTCTTCAATATTTACATAATCCTAAGAAGTTTTGCCTTGATTTTGGTAATTCTGCGAAGCCTTAAGTCTTTTAAGCCCATGTTCCCGACACTAACCAATACATTATAATATTTACCGGAATTTACCTTAGATTCTTGGAAGCTACTATTTCCCTAGTAACCTCGACGAAGACATGAAGCCGGCGGCTTGTTAAAGGTCTCCCCATTGTTTTTCTGGCTTTTTTTTCTACACGAATTTTAAACTGAAATAATGTCTTTGTGTTTACGACTTTAATGGGTAGGCGGTTCCATTGATTTATGATCTATTGGCGAAAAAAACATTTACCGTTTTCTGTCCTACACGAGAGAAAAAATGAGATTGAACCCGGGATCCTCAGTCGAGTCAAGAACGTAGACTGTACTACCGAGGCTTATCAACCTCTGGAAGGTTATTAAGATCTATATCAATCTCTAGAGGAGTTATTAAGGTCTGTTTCAATCGGATTATCAACCTCTGGAGGGCTATTAAGGCCCATCAATCTCTAGAGGGTTATTAAGGCCTATCATCCTCTGAAGGGTTATTAAGGCCTATCACCCTCTGGAGGGTAATTAAGGTCTATCAACCTCTGGAGGGTTATTAAGGCCTATCACCTTCTGGAGGATTATTTAGGTCTATCAACCTCTGGAGGGTTATTAAGGACACCACAATAGCTTACTGAGCAACCAGAGCTTAGTGTACATACTCAAGAGAAGCCGGGTACACCTCTCGGCAAGATGAGCTATGAGCTGTCATGAGCAGTGAAGAGATTTTGATAGACCCATAGTTATAGTCAAAGTTTATTTCATGAATTGCATATTTTTCATATGCTGTAATTTAAGACTATTAATTGGGTGCAAACTACGCAACATTTTCAAAGGGTAAATTAACAGAAATATTAAGTAAAAGCAGAAACATGTTATTACATTATAAGCTGGTATGCACTTCTTAACAACAGTCCTTACCATGTTCAAAGGTATTGAAAAAATATATTCAGCTGGTCGCTTGGAAAATTTTCAAACTAATCTACATCTCCCTAACCAAGTGCAAGGCTGTCCATGTGGTCACCCGACCAGCAACAAGCCAGACCCAACAGTGTTGAGCCACATGATGCACATCTTTTAATTTTCCCAAATCCTTCCTTCAGAAATCCAAATGCTGTTAAATGTTTCTAATTTCCCATTATCTCAACTTTAGGCATGCTGCTTCCCATCAGTGCTAAGGTTAGTCAAGTCACAGCCCAAAGGTCCCAGGTTCAATTCCTGCAGCAGGGCAGATGTTTCAGCAGCGTTTCCTTTCATCTGATGCCTCTGTTTACTTAGCAATAAATACAGTAATTAATTATCAAAAGAAGGCACCAAACCGGGAAGGCTATGTAGCACCATCAAATATGCAGAATAATCAAATAGCACTAAATATCACCAAGGATGCCAATATGAGAACAGAAATGCATAAGGCAAACGATATCAAAAGTATCCGATTCACCAAGAAGTCCATCAAGGGACGAGTGACCGCGAAGGATGGTCGGAATGCAAGACACGCTCGTCCTGGAAGTCAGGACATTCAACAAGGATATGCACGACTGTAAGAGGGACAATGCAATTTGAACAATAAGGAGCTGGGCGGCGCTCCATTAAGTGACCGTGAGTTAAGCGAGTATGGCCAAGACGCAACCTTGCTAGAGCCGTTTCCCACCACCGGTTACGATGGCAGGAGGAAGGCCACGGGGGACACAACATTTAAGAGTACGCAGTTTGTTACCAACAACAGAAGACCAACAACCCTGCCAATGGGGCAAGGATGGAGGAATGAATAACCGGGTAAAAGTCGGAATAAGGAATACCTTGACGGGAGATGGGACAAGCGGATAACTTCCCGAGCGGCAGCATCCACACACTCATTTAAAGAAACACCAACATGGCTGGGAACCCAGCAAAACTCTACGGATTTAAATTTACTGGAGATAAGAAACAGCCAATGTTGAATCTCGAAATAAATACAGTAGATACTAGGAGTTAGGCAACTGTTGTGGGTTGCATCCTGGGGAATGTTAGTCGAGTTCAACTAGGGGGGGGGGCCTCGATAACCCTAAGTACATGCTGCCTCTTCCCAACAAATCAGAATTGGGAATTATTAAAACAAATGAAATAAAGCTCCTTTTATTCATTATGTTGACAAATTCTCAAAAAATGCAACAAGTATAAAATGGAACACACAGATGAATAGGCATGATGAAAATGAGGCAGAATGATACAAGAGGAACGATGAGCGCACATTCTACACAATACACACCTTCCATTCAATGTTTGGATCTGATAGTACAAAACACTACATAAACATCTGCTATGGTGTGACTATATCTCTACTATGAAATACTGTATACTTCATTCATTATCAACATAATTTTGAGCAGTCATGGATTCTTTTGATCAATGTATATTGGTCAGTGTTAATTAAAAAACATGACTTTTTCAAATAAAAACAAAACATTTAATAAAACTTACTCACATTTGAGCATATTTACACATTTTTAAATAGTGAATTAACAAGTATAGTATATACACCACAGATAAAATTAAAATATCTGTTCAATGGGATTTGGCCCATGCATCACTAGCAGAATTATAGATAATCTCCATCAAATATGTCAATAATATATAAACAAGAAGCACCTGAAAGGGTCAAGTTTGGAGGGACAATATATGTATTTGTTTATGTATATAATGTATTTAGCATGACTGATACCAGACCTTTATGGACACTGATACTATATGGTATGTGGCTGTCATTTCACAATTACAGTAATTAATTTTAGCAAGGAATACAGTTTTTGTTTTACATGAAGCATTTATAAGTTATTACCATTCGACTCCTAGGACAAAATTTAAATTTCTTAAATAGAAGAACTTTTCAACTCTCAACATTTCTTTATATTCAAAGGAACAACAATTCATTTTAAAGAATACAGTACATTCATGCACTATGTTCATAACGCATTCTCAAGTAGTATCAGGTCGAATACCTAGCTTGGTCAATATTCATCATATAATTCCTGACATTATGCTATTAAGATGAAAATATAAAGGCTTAGAAACACATTTAATGACTTAGGTAAAATGTGTCACGTGTCTACAACAACAAAAATTCAATAGGCTAATTGTCCAGTAATCGATAAAAAGATTTGAGTCTCATTCAAAAAATTAATGCACCGGTTTGATTTATTATGTGAGCCAATTAGAAACAGTAATTTAATTGCATTACATAAGCCAAATCAAGTACTATACCAATCAAAAGGACACATTTCACAACAAAATATTGTCTTCTCTTTATGACACAGGATGTCTTTATAATTAACTATACTTATGTTATATCCAGGGTTGAGAATACTGCCATCTTCTTTGAGTCCCAATTAAGCTGATAGGAGGCCATCATATGACGACAGGCATATGACTAGCATACAACTAGTGACTGGAAAACAGGGATCAGCACATAGCTGATAACTGTCACAGCTATTTAATAGAACACCAGTGATGACCAAAAACAAAGCATATTACTCTAATGCTCGAATTTCTTAATACATGTTCCTCAAAGCTTCATATCGCATAACCTTACACATTTAAAAGTTTTTTATAGATATGTAATGATACTTTCTGAAAGTTTTACATTTCAAGGGCTGGGCAAAATCAGCTGCAACAGTTTGGCTTTAGTTTTTATTTTGCTTTTCTTTGTACTAATTTATGTAATTGCATTATCATTCATTGATGTATAACATTGCAATGTGCACATCCCCCTTATTTAATTTATCCATTCCTAAAATCTTGAGCTACAATTCAAACAATTTCTACCATTGGACACAATAAGCTTCCAAAAATTAATAAATATGCATGTTACACATACAATCATCATGAACATAATTTCCATTTCAAAGTTTTTGGTCCCAGTTACAAAATTCTTCAAACTCCAAATTAACTCAGGCATGACATGCTACATGCAGAATCTTGTTTGATTTTTAATTACTCCAGCAAGTAATTATTACAAGGTGGCACCAAGCCTGGATGACTATATAGCACCAATTATGTGACTATTTAAAAGTTCTTAGATATCATTCAGGAAGACCATACAAGAAACACAAGAGAAGCAAATGTCAAAGGAATCCAATTTACCAAAGATTTTATTGCGGGATATGTGATTCAAAGTAATTAATCATCCCAAGCAGGTGCCAAACCTAGAAAACTATTTAGCACCGCCCATGGCACAGAATATCTATTAGTCCTAAATATCAACCCATGAGGCTAAAACTGAGTAAAAAAAAATAACAAAAGCAATGTCAAAGGCATCAGATTTCTTCGAGTTTTTATCAAAAAGGACAAAATACTAAGGTACATTGGGAAAGCAAGATTTTCACTTATCCTGAAAATCAAGACGTTACGTGACGCGCACGAATAAGTGGAACAACACAGTTTGGGCAGTAAGGTACAAGTCTCTGTTCCATTAAGTGCTGGCATGTTATTTGCATGTTGACATTATGTAATCTAGCCAGAGATGTTTCCTCACTTTTTATTTCAGTGGCAGGGAGAAGACCACGGAGATAGGTCACATTTGATAATACTTACTCTGTTATTTGTAATAGCTAACCATCTATTGCTCCAAAATTTTTGGATTAGAATATGAAAGACAGAAGAAATTCAAGAAAGAAACTTTGTTTTTTGAGATGGGACAGGTCCCAAATGGTCTGTGGTGGCATGGCATTCATAAGGTCAATTGTGGTAACACCAATATGGCTGCAAGCCCAGCAAAATTTGAGTGTTCTACATCTGCAAAAGATGAGGAACAGCCAATGTTGAATTTCGACCACCACAGTATGTGAAGGGTTAAAAAGACTCAAAAGGCATGAGCATTGGAGCAAGAAAAGTATCTATCTTAGAAGCGCATAAAATTACATAAAGCTTTGCTGTAAAAATAAATATTGTATCTCTGGGAAAATGCATTGCATAAAACTTTGATCAGAAACAATAACAGAGAAGCCACCGCTTTCAGTAGACATCAACCCATCAACAGAGAAGTAATGTGTGAATGACACTGGAAATGTTCAAGGAAAAGCATTTCAGACTTATCAGAAGAGGGTATGTAAGCCTTTCTGTAAAGATTAGTGTTTCACAAAATTTAATCCCCCCCCTTCCCCTTACAATAAGTAGGGCCACATTTGTCTGCAAGTGGGCAATCCATGCAGTAAAAGACTGCAAAGGAGTAGGAGCAAGGCATTCATTAGGGACAAGGGGTCAAGTAAGTAATTAATTATCAAAAGAAGGCACCAAACCGGGAAGGCTATGTAGCACCATCAAATGTGCGGAATAATCAGAGGGCGCTAAATATCACCAAGGATGCCAATACGAAAACAAAAATGCATAAGGTGAACGATATCAAAAGTATCAGAGTCACCAAGAATTCTATCGAGGGACAAGTGACCGTGAGGGGCGGTCAAAAAGCAAGACATAACAAGGGGTCAAGATGTGGTACAAGCATAGATTGGGACTTTGTATGTCATAGTATAGCTTCTAGACTCTCCATAGCATTCTGAAGCAGAATCAAAATTTACCCACCACAAGTTCAACATGAAAGAGGCAGAGTAATGGCATCAAGAATCATGCAGTAGGGATAATACTGTAATTGCATGTCACCACTGAAGAGCCATATTTCATGCCAAGAACTAACAAGGTGTTTCCTTAATGGATGCATGACTAAACCAGATTCATTTAGCTGAAAAGCTCTGAACCTCTAATTTTACTCCTATTCCAAACTAGTATGTTGCCTCCAAGAAGCCATGGCCCTTGGAAAATTCAACACTAGATTATGGAAAGATGTGGGATATAAGAGTTTCCATGCAAGATACACAGAGGGTAGCTTAATTCGTAAAACTTGGTTTTTGTAGTATCACTTGCAGAAAGAGACCAGAAGAAAGAGCCTAACGAACTACTCTCAACCGTCTTCTGGATTATTGAAGAACTAAAGCTTCCCACCATGTAAAGACCCTGACCATTAGAGGGTTGATCCCGTGTATATGCGGTGGTGGTGGTGGTCAGCATTCTGAATTTTGCATTAGTATTAAATGAATAAATTTTGCATAATGCAAATATATAATATTGATATTTCACTATTCCTAAAGGCATATTTAAAATTGTATACCAAGGATCACTCATGAACACAATACAAACAAAAATGATGCACTTCATTTTATCAGCAAGAATGCATGTTTGGTCATGGTATATTACACCCTAATCATCATTAGAAACCTTCCTCTAAAATCTTACTTTGTGAGTTTTCACAGGCAACCATTTTATTCGCCTCAATGCATTTACAATTTCTTATTTCAATTTACTTACCTCATTTTATGAATTTTAATGTCAGCGTTCCTCTTTTTTTGAGCAACTTCTATCAAAACTGTCATATTCCTCACTAATATTTTCATCTACAGGCATAACATTATTTCATTAATTTCTTTGATTTTCACACAACAAATAATTCACAGCTTTATTTTTTAACAACTGATAGCGAGATATCACCAGCCATAATGTTTAAGGAAAGATTCTGATGCATTATCCAGAAGTGAACATCAGCCATCTTGATATATATAAATATAAAAACAAATGTGTATTAAAAATAAACTTTATATAAACTCTCTCATATTTATGTTATTTGTTCTATTAATGTAAATGTTTACTCAGTCTTAACTTTGTCATCAATAAATCTGATTCTTCTCCAAATACAATTCCTATATATTTGTACAACTAACACAGTATTACTGTTTTCAATAAATATTTCATAATGCATTGCAAAATTATTTGTAAAGTTCTAGCAAAATCTAACATATTCTACTACAAAAATAAATAGACAGTACAGGTATACTGTACAGTATTGATAAAATAAGAAATACATGTTACAAATAAGTAATGAATATGATACTGTACTTCAAATTAAAATATAATTCTGATCTATAAATGCAAAATATAACTATAACCTTGAATGAGATAAACATTTTCATTGCCATCCAAATGAGTCAAAAATAAATTTTAAAATTAACATACACAGTTTAATGACTAAATTGAACTGTCCTTGGAGTATTGTACAAAGAAAAGATGGTTGTATGCTAGCTGCAGATAAAGAACAAAAATAACATACAGCAACCCTACTTTAGTTTACTAAAATTCGTTAGATACTTGGCCATTAACAAAACTCTTCAGACCTGCACTGACAGATATATATGAACATTATGATGAAGTTTCCAGAGACACTTCTTTATTTTTGTATTCATCTGCTAATATGTCTAGCTCCACCAGTCATCTTGGATAGCATTTAGAGCTAGTTTGAAATTTTTTATTGTGGTAAATAGATTGCAAGCATGCTACTACTTATGGCTCATTTCTGTACATGGCCATAAACAAGAGACTGCATTTATAACAGTTTATCATTTCTCACAATTACTGTACCAAATATTTTAAAGATTTCATTAAAACAAAAATTATTGCTGCAACAGAAGTTTTTCACATTAACTGGCAACTGATACGAACTGACAGGATAGAAAATCATGCTGCCATAATGTCACAACTATGTATCTTCCATCAACAACAACACTACCCATGATGTTATTCCTAGTAACGAGAATGCAAGGAAGCTAATTCAGTTCTTTTTTATGCCCAGCCATAGTAGCATTACTAAATGAAATGCTTGACAAGCAGCTTCTTTCATAAGAAGCGATATACAACAAAACACGGAAAAGTATCAATGGCATAAATATATGTAAAACTTTATAATCATACTGACACACTACAAGGTATATAATCACACACACACATATTGCAACATCTATAGTTAGTCACACACATTACATTTACCATTCATAGGAATATTTTAACGTCACATTTTTCTTCAACAATGTCTCATCAAATACCAAAGTATTTTAACAGTATAGGCCTATAAGAAATATTTCCCAAAACTTTCCTTTCATAGCACAAAAACCAACACAAAGGTACTCGATACATTGTACCATCAGTGTTCGTACACATACATATAAATGTAATATGACTATCTGCATTGATTTTATAGTCATTTGTAGGTCACCTAAACCAATAAGCATGAGTATTTGGTATTTACAATGCATTTTATTAAGCCCCATATCTTGTGGCTTTTAATGTCTCCTAATTATATGTAAAATACACTGAAGATTATTTCCTTCATTAGCAGATAATTTTAATTACATAAAAATTTTCAAAACTTCAAATATTTCATATTCTTTATATATATATATATATATATATATATATATATATATATATATATATATATATATATATATATATATATATATATATATATATATATATTTATTTATTTATTTATTTATATGGCAGAAATTAACAAAACTCACAAACCTTAAAAAAAAACGTATATTTAAATATCCTTGTAAATGTTCATTTAAAATTCCTACCTGTGGAAAGTCCAAGGAAAAAATATCTGCTATTACAAAGGAAAGATGCACTGAGTATTTTGTTATCACAGATCTAGAGGATGTAAATGTATTAACAAACTAAATTACAGTATTTGCATCTAGAATTCTTGCTATGCTTCAGACCTACAGAGCACCACAAGTAACGCTGAAACCTTATGCCTGAAGATCATATAACAAGCCAAGGTGACTATATTTGGCTCTATGTTGTTCAACAAATAACACCTAAATTATCAGATCAATATTGAAGGAGTATACAGGTAATAATTTACGCACACACACACACACACACATACTGTGCCCTTTGGGGGGGGGGGGGAGGGAGGGAGGAAAAAAAAGTGTGTATTTTTGCACTTCTATTTTTTTTTAACCAGGTACTAAATAATTCCCTAACGTGTAACAACACAAATTCTATTTCATGTTTGTTTACAATAGTAACAAAAAATAGAACCCATTTTTTTATTTTTAAATAGCATCTGATGTATCATGGCAGTTGTGGTAAATCTTTAACAACACACACACAGTCCTCATGGCAGATTGAATGAATGAAAAAGTAAGACCATTTTGTTAAACCATAAATCTCGTATACAATATCACTCATGAATGCTACCACCACATTTATTTATTCAATTTTGGTACAAACTTAAAAAAAAAAATGGATTAAATGACTGACCCCAGTTTAACAGCCATTCCAAAAAAGCTTTCCTCTAGGGAAATGCTTTAAGGCAAATTTTACTGTAATAAGCAATTTTCTAAAATATTGAGTTACCACATTGTCTAGCTTTGAACAAGATATAAATGAACTAGTTACGTATGAGTATACTCGGACAAATTAAGGTTTGTGGACACCAGGCAAATTAAATAGAATGTATTCTATCATAATGCATGTGTAATTGCATTCATACTTCACTATCCCTAGTGTTGAACAATGGGATAGTTCATACTATCCCATTGAGTTGCTTCATTTATTGCCCATACGAGGCAATAAAAAGTAATCAATTATTCTCAGATCTTTTAAAAATCTTAAAAGCTTAATTTCACAGGTATATTCCAGGTTTTCTAGGTGACCTAAATCTTCCTTGTTCAATGAATTGTGACCTCACCGACATCTATCATATGTTGATGCCTTGCACCCTCTGGAAGATGCTGCTCCTCATGGGGAAGACACACAGGAGAATCCTCTGCATGCATTTCACCAACTTTCCAACGTTGCAGACATGCTAAAGGATCATGCACGCACCAAGATGAAAGTATAGGAAGTGTGAAGATTGCTTCAATGAGCATAGATTAATAAAAAGAAAAAATCACACAAAAATAAGAGAAAATATGGATTAAGAACAGGAAAACAGAGCACAATCAAAAGGATATATTGAGAAGAAAGAACCGAAGCAACTCATTCCAGTGCAGTGATGAAAGAAGAGTTTCTCCCTCAATGTGCTTATTAAATGACAAACTACAATAATAGTAAAAAAATAGAATATCAAGGCAAAAGTTTTGCTTAATTGTATGTTTCTAAAGACTTTATAAGAAGTTTAAACTTGGTGTTGAACCGTTAATAACTAATTTCAAAATTTTTTCAACCAATGGCCAGAATTAGATTTTACGTCATTAAATAATTACTTGACCATGTGAAAGACACGAGGGGTTAAATCTTATTTTAAAATTGCCATGCATCGAGCAGTGTAAGTGTACAATTATAACTTTTGTACAGTAATATAGAAATATACAAAACATACACAATGAAACCACAATACCGTGATATATTTCATATGTAAAACATACCGAGATTGAGTTAATAAATATAATTGTCCTGTGGAAATTATCATTACTCAGTGTACTATTGTCAAGGCCAAGGACATCCTACCATATGAGTATGATACACCAGAAGAAGCTTTTCAGCATGATTATCAAACATTCAGCTAAAAACATTCATGTTATCACCCACAATTATAAATTCCAGTGATTTTTCTAAATCATAAGAACTTCCAGATATCTAAATAATAATTGTCAATTTAAGTGAACTGTGTACAGTATTAGTAAGATTTGATTAAAATGCTAATACTTGATAAGCTTTTAAAATATCCATAGAAATATATACCTCAAGAGACCATTGATGAAATAATAACCAATTTAAAAAAAATATGCTGTACTGAAATTTTAGAAATGACAAAGCTAGAATATTTTTCAGCATTTGCTAATTTGTTGAGATTAACAATACAAATGCCTGTGAAAAAATTAAATGGCTTAAAAATTTTATTTTTATAAACAAAGCATTCCTGTAATTACATATACAACACAGAAATAGTGTATAAAAGTTGCCACAAATCATACTGCAGTCATTGCTGCAGCATCCATGTGCGCTTGAAGGATCTGTGAAAATGTGCGTTTGTGGGCGGAGGTTCGGACGGATGCAATGGCCCGGAATAAAGCCTCTGCACAGAGATCTTCTGGTAGACGAGTGAGAAACTGTGCAGCGGTGGCAGTGCACTCTTGATTGGTAATAACAGTTTCATACAGCTTCAAGATACCTGAAGAAAAATGTAATCAACATAAATATGTTATAAAGAAACATTTTAGATTTAGTCAACTACTGTATATAAAATTCCTAATCTAAATTATCAAGGCCAAAATATAGTTTGAAATTTAGAATCCAAAAAATAGAAGAACATCAAAAGAATAATACTGCAGAGCAAAAGTACAATAGAGGGGATTTTGAATTATTGGAATACTGTATATTGTATATTGTTATATATATATATATATATATATATATATATATATATATATATATATATATATATATATATATATATATATATATATATATATATATATATATAATGCGTTATGTGTGGTTTCCTCCGAGGCTATGGGTCCCCCTTCTTCCAGCCAGAGGTGGTATATAATTTAATATTATAAAAAAAAAAAAAAAAAATTATAAAAAAATATATATATATATATATATATATATATATATATATATATTAGTATATTTTGGTAGCAGTCTTTCCTGTAGACATATATTATTAAATATGACCGAAAAAGTAAGATTAATAATTCTAACACGAATTTTCTCAATCTTTCGTACATTACGCTTCACTGTTGGAGGTAAATCAAAAATCACTTCTCCAAAATTCATTTTTATTTCTAGTTTGACGCGACACGGGCGCGTTTCGTAAAACTTATTACATTTTCAAAGACTTCACAAATACACAACTGATTAGAACTTACGTATCTCTGATTTTATATCTACATTTGAGTGAGGTGGGAGGGGTGATGTGGCATTAACACAAGACAGAACAAGAGGGGATATTAATAGGGTATTAAAAGTATCAACACAAGACAGAACAGAAACAATGGGTATTGAATAGAAGTGTTTGTAGAAAGCCTATTGGTCCATATTTCTTGATGCTTCTATATTGGAGCGGAGTCTTGAGGTGGGTAGAATATAGTTGTGCAATAATTGGCTGTTGATTGCTGGTGTTGACTTCTTGATGTGTAGTGCCTCGCAAACGTCAAGCCGCCTGCTATCGCTGTATCTATCGATGATTTCTGTGTTGTTTACTAGGATTTCTCTGGCGATGGTTTGGTTATGGGAAGAGATTATATGTTCCTTAATGGAGCCCTGTTGCTTATGCATCGTTAAACGCCTAGAAAGAGATGTTGTTGTCTTGCCTATATACTGGGTTTTTTGGAGCTTACAGTCCCCAAGTGGGCATTTGAAGGCATAGACGACGTTAGTCTCTTTTAAAACAGAACGCTTTAAAAGAGACTAACGTCGTCTATGCCTTCAAATGCCCACTTGGGGACTGTAAGCTCCAAAAAACCCAGTATATAGGCAAGACAACAACATCTCTTTCTAGGCGTTTAACGATGCATAAGCAACAGGGCTCCATTAAGGAACATATAATCTCTTCCCATAACCAAACCATCGCCAGAGAAATCCTAGTAAACAACACAGAAATCATCAATAGATACAGCGATAGCAGGCGGCTTGAAGTTTGCGAGGCACTACACATCAAGAAGTCAACACCAGCAATCAACAGCCAATTATTGCACAACTATATTCTACCCACCTCAAGACTCCGCTCCAATATAGAAGCATCAAGAAATATGGACCAATAGGCTTTCTACAAACACTTCTATTCAATACCCATTGTTTCTGTTCTGTCTTGTGTTGATACTTTTAATACCCTATTAATATCCCCTCTTGTTCTGTCTTGTGTTAATGCCACATCACCCCTCCCACCTCACTCAAATGTAGATATAAAATCAGAGATACGTAAGTTCTAATCAGTTGTGTATTTGTGAAGTCTTTGAAAATGTAATAAGTTTTACGAAACGCGCCCGTGTCGCGTCAGACTAGAAATAAAAATGAATTTTGGAGAAGTGATTTTTTATTTACCTCCAACAGTGAAGCGTACTGTACGAAAGATTGAGAAAATTCGTGTTAGAATTATTAATCTTACTTTTTCGGTCATATTTAATAATAAATAATATATATATATATATATATATATATATATATATATATATATATATATATATATATATATATATATATATATATATATATATATATACTGTATATATAAATGCTATTAATGCACCATCTATGTTAAGTATCTAGTTTTACAATTAATACAAATTATCACTAACCCTTAAATGGCTCAACTAATTAAGAGTTCAACATCGTGGTGCATATGACAAAATATAGTTTATAAATCAAATGAAAAAATATCTCCAATGGCAATTCAAACACAGGAGGTAATCATAGATAAGCAACTCGACCAATGTGCTTAATAACATATTTCAGTAAGTCAACTAACCAATGGCAGCCCTTAAGAGAAACTCCTCCCCATCTCTTAGATAAACGTCCCATATTCTGACCGCAGCATCCAGAGGTAATGGACGAGCAAATACCGTCAACAACCAGTCCAAAACATAAAGGTCTGGGGTAACTCCAATTGTTTGCAAGTGCTCTGCGATAAGTGGTAAATTGGCAGCTAGAAGTTCTTCGAAGGCTTTATAGTAGGCACACATCTGGAAATTGAAGTTTACATCATCAGAATCATACTACCACCACCACTTTCACCACCACCACTATTTTCAGCACCACCTACCACCACTGTCATCATCCCCATCAAAATCTGCACCACCATAATTAGAACCACTACCATCATCAGCACAACTTTCATAGCAAAATATAACAGAAAAAAATACTAGTTGGCAACATAAGAAACATAACTGCAGAAGACCTATTGGCCCATACGAGGCAGCTCCTATTTATAACCACCTAATCCCACTCGTATACATGTCCAATCCACGCTTGAAACAATCAATGGACCTCACTTCCACCACGTTCAATTCAATTTCGTTACGTGACAATTGGTTCCACAAATTAAAAACCCTGTTACCGAACCAGTATTTAACTAGGTCTTTCCTAAATCTAAACTTATCCAATTTATACCCACAGAAATCACTATAGCTTGGTGCATCAAATGAATAAATCCACAAGGGCCGTGATGAGGGTTCGAACTCACACCCGGGATGATCCCAGACGCTGCCTTAGTCGACTACGCCACAACATGATCAAAAGAATTGCAACCGGGAATTCCACTGAATTCACACGGATCCTGCAGCCTCTCTGAGACACAAACCAGGGTTTTACACAATTCCCCCATGCACTCGGGCTCTGCCAACAATCTACCTCTTTGCCCTCTCTTCAATACACACAGAAATCACAATAGCGTGATGCATCAAATGAATAAATCCACAAGGGCCGTGATGAGGGTATACCCATTGTTTCGTGTTCTGTCATGTCTTGATACAGTACTTTTAATACCTTATTAATATTCTCTTTGTTATATCCATTCATCCACTTGTACACCTCTATCATGTCACCCCTTACTCTTCACCTTTCCAGTGCATGTACAGTAATTAAAGTTTTGTCAATCTTCCTTCGTATGAATCTAATTTGCGGGATTAACTTTGTCATCCTACGCTGGACACGTTCTTGTGAATTTATATCCATTCTATAGTACGGCGACCAAAACTGAACTTCATAATCTAAATGGGACCTAACCAGAGCAAGATATAGCTGAAGAACAACATCAGGTATTTTATTAGTAACGCTTCGATTAATAAATCTCAGTGTCCTATTTGCCTTATTACGAACATTTATGCATTGATTTTTGGGTTTTAAATTCTTACCTATCACAACTCCAAGATCCCTTTCGCAATCTGACTTCGCAATCTCAACACCATCTAGCTCGTATCTTGTAACTGTATCATTATTATCAGGAGGGCGCCTGATAGCTAGGTGGACAGAGCTTCGGATTCATAGTCCTGAGGTTCTGGGTTCGATTCCCGGTGGAGGCGAAGACAAATGGGCAAAATGTTTCTTTCACCCTGATGCCCCTGTTACCTATCAGTAAATAGGTACCTGGGAGTTAGACAACCGCTACGGACTTCTTGGGGGTGTGTAACAAAAAGGAGGCCTGGTCGAGGACCAGGCCGCGGGGATGCTAAGCCCCGAAATCATCTCTAGATAACCAAGATAGCCTTAAACCTTACATTTGTCAGCATTAAACTGCATCTGCCAATCTTTTGACATTTCAAAACCCTATTTAGATTGTCTAAGTGATAGAGTCATGTTTTCTAACAAACGTGACCTAACATATGCTTACCCTTCCATTTATCTTTCTTTCTTTTTCTTTTTCTTTCCCTTGTTTTCTCTTACGATCCCTTTCTTATTCCTATTCTACTATCCCCTTTATTACACCTTACCTTTCGCACCCTTTGCCTTGCTTTTTCTTCCTCTAAGATTTCCTTCTCCTCACCCCTCTCTTGCCTATTTATTGCCTTCGCCGCCTTCCCTCATCACAATCGACTTAAGAATGGTCCAGGACAGATCGAAACGTCGTCGTCCCTTCATTTTCTAGGTTCATCCCTTCATGTGTGGTTTGGTCAACATAAGTCTTTTTTTGTGTTTACTTCCCTCCCAATTTTTGTATCATCGGCAAATTTGCAAATATTGCTACTCAAACCTGAATCTCAATCATTTATATATATTATGAATAACAGAGGTCCCTGGACAGAGCCTTGAGGCATTCCACTTACAACATTTTCCCACTCTGACAACTCTTATTTATACTAAATCTGTTTCCTTTGGTATAGCCATGCCCTAATCCAACTTAATATAGTACTCCTAATACTGTGAGCCTCTAACTTCTTAATCAGTCTTTCAAGTGGCACTGTGTCAAAAGCTTTGCTAAAGTCAAGGTACACAACATCACAAACCTTACCACTATCAACTGCCTCAACTATGCTGGAATAAAATGATAGCAAATTTGTTAAACATGAACGGCCATTTGTAAAACTATGTTGTTAATCATTTATTGATTTATGTTTTTCAAGATGAAGATGAATGGTATTTGCAATTATCGATTCAAGTAACTTTCCCACAATAGATATTAAGCTAATTGGCCAATAGTTTGACGCAAGTGATTTATATCCTTTCTTGAAAATTAGTACCACATTAGCAAACTTCCATGACTCTGGCTCTCAGCCTGACTAATGATTTATTAAATATGGTGGACAATGGCTCGCAAAGCTCCTATTTGCATTCCTTAAGCACCCTGGCAAACACTTTTTGCATTTTACTATATGTTTAATATCATCCTCCCTGGTAACTGCTATACTAGGCAACCCTGTTCTCTTCCCCACCCAAATAGACTTCTTCAGCTGAAGGCATACTGTTCAGTTCTTCTTTAGTAAATACAGAGATAAAATATTTATTAAAAATACTACACATCTGTCATTATCGGTTTTCTGACCTGTTTCAGTTTTTTATGGACTTATCATTTCTCTAATTCTTTCTCTAAAACTCTGCCAATTTTTTTTTAAGTCATTAACAACCTTAGAAATGTTCAATTTAGATCAAGTAAAGTGCCAACATGTAGTTAAAGACACTTTGAGCTTTAAAAGTTGTAAATGTGTGGCATGTTAAATAACACATTCCTAACCAAGTTTGCATTGACCACTAGTCAGCAAGAACAGTTGCTAGAGTCCCAGCACAACACACGCACATTAAGATTTTACACACATATCTTAAAACTGATTCGTAAAGTGAATAAAGCTTCTGCACAGTGATTATTCATGTACAGTAAAATCAAATCTGCATTTATCAAAACTATTAAAAAAGCAAGTTTAATAATTTTAGTACAGTACAGTATTCAAATTTGGGCTTAACAAAAATTAAATATATACACATTTGTTTAAGATAGGTCAGAGGTCTGTGGAACATCCAGAGCTAAGGTGAACACATTTCTGCTTGCAATGTACAGTAGTGAACTGCAGGTAATTATGCAGCCCGTCCTCCTAAGGTCTGCTAATTTCAAGAAAACATGAAATTTAAAGTGTCCTCTCCTAACCTACAAGAGGACCCAAAACAAAAAATGGGACAGTATGCCTCTTTTACGAGCCACTTCCATTTTCTGGAACGACAATTTTTGGTTTATGTAATGCATACGAGAGAAAACCGATGTTCTTTGTAGGAGGACAGGTTGAATTATTGAACTAAACTATAATTTGTTGAAAGGTGGTAGTGATTTACACCGACTTTTATTCTTCAGGGATCTACTAAACTCCATCACACACAAAATCCATTGAGAATTTAAGCCCCTGTGTTTCTAACTACAAAAGTGAGATGACTTGCCACTGGCTGATCCATCCTGAAGAATGCCATGTGTGCTGGTCGATTGAGGAGGTTGGAGAAGGTAATAAATGCATCTGCTTCATCCATATTAAGAAGCAGTGTTGCTGCCAGAAAGGACATCCCCTGCACGTAACCAACATCGGGACGGTAGCAGGCATAAGCTCCTAAGATATTATGAAGAGGATCATGGTATGGTCCACCCTGAAATTATATTTTCCTATCAAATTCTATACCTTAACTTATATTTCATAAATGTTCCAGTGAATATATATTTGCAGAGATGAAGGTGGGAAGTATGAGGGTAAAGAGAACCAGTGTATAAAGAGAACACAAGAGTTTTGTGCTCAGGAAGAGAACTTCCCGAGCACAAAAAGGTTAACAGGCACTAAAAATCTAAACTATAAATCCTGAGCACAAAAAGGTTAACAGGCACTAAAAATCTAAAATATATTAATAAACCATACTGCTATGTGAAAAGATAGTTTAAAGATAATTTCCATTAATATTTTAACAAAATTATGGACAACTTGGATCATTTTTATTCCATATCTAATACTTATGTTTATGAATTTACTTGAATTTGGTAATGTAAAAAATGTTGGGACAATGACATCATTTTATACTATAGAATGCACATTAAATTGCACAATTTGCATAAATAATGAATATAAATTACAGAATATATATCTTCACATAAAAAGTAAGACATCAACTGTTGCTGAAATGCTCCTATCCGAGCTGATCACTTGGTTGCTTCCTTTGGCAGAAATCCATTTCCATGGGTCTCTAAATCACTTCTTTAGACAAGAGTTACAACCACCACTGCACAAAAGAAAGTGATGAAAGTACTTACCTGTGCTGCAAAGCGGATCAGAAGCTGTCAGAGGGGGGATGAGGAAAGCTGCACCCTTAAAGAAACAAACATGCAAGGTCCAACCCCTCGCCAAACAAGGCAAATGAAAAGAAAGATGAACTGAAGGAAAAACGTCCCAGCATCACACCCCGAAGACGACATGGGCATCAAAATCATCAGAGCTTAGAGGGCAGGTAACAACCACAAGGCAAGATTCAAAAAAGCCTTTCTGGATGATGGAGCTAGTCTAACTCAAGGCCCTCAAGAGTAAGACACAATCACCACAGGAGCAGCAGCTAGGCACCCACAAACATCAGAGAAAAGCTGCTATCAAGCACAGCACCCACACCAGAAAAATCCATCAGGACAAGAGAGCTCCCCCAAGGAGCTCCTCTTTGTTTCAGGAGGAAGCAAAAACCTTCAGTTATTTAGTAAATGTTCCTTAACCATAGACCATGCAGGTACAACGTGCAAGACCTGAAATTACAGGTACCAAATGAGGGAAATAAAACAAGGACCAAGCACTATGTGAATGCTCTGCTAGAGGTACTGGGTACAAAAAATGGAAGTTACCAAAGAAACCCAACTCACAAAGAGTAGGAGAGTTGATTTTCCTTGGTGGTGGATTGAAAAATGCTCTCCACATCCAGACAGTATATCAATATAACACATGGCTGAAAATTAGACACACAACTTGATAATAGTCCCAGATTACCCAGAACATTCCCACTTACTTTCTTTTCAGATGTGTGGCTTAGGTGTTCCTTACTCTTCACTGTGAAGGTCCAGTTGCCTTGTCACCATTATCCTCAAATGGACAAATGATATGTCCCTGTACTACTGAATGAATTTGTACACACTATGTTGAGTACTATTTAGCAGAATGCCTCTGCTTTCAAAGATGATCCTTTTGTTTATGTATAAGAGACATCATGTTTGTATCAATGCCATACTATGCCTAACTCATAACAATACCACCATTATCAAAATTTATCATTAAGTCGCTTTGTTCCCATCCATATCCCACATGAGAATGGGAAACAGGGTGATAATGATGACGGTGATGCTAATAATCAGGTATTATATTGTATAAAGTTACCTTCTGGAAGATGCAAAGGTGAGGAAACGTGCGTGAGACATCGAGACGAATGAGGTCTATGGTTCCTTCCAAGTCATCACAATCACTAGTCACATCCTCCTGGCTAACCATACTCCCACACTCACTAAGGCTCATCAGCTTTTCTACAGACCTAGTGATCAGTGGAGGAATAATTGAACAGAATAAGTCACAATAACATGGCTGAAAATTAATAGCCCAACACACACACATATAAAACAAAATGAAAGTAATGACATTTCAGTCCATCCTGGACACTTATCAACTTGATAAAGGTCCAGGATAGACCAAAACCTTGTCACTTTCATTTCATGTGTGTGTAGGTTGGGTTACTGATGAATAATTGTCAATCAAAAACTGGTTGATTAAAGAAAGAACAATTAATAGTTTCAAGTACAAATATAGTTTACTACTGTATATACTTCACAAAGACTGAGGTGTGGTTTTCCTCTGCCTGTGGAAATAATGCAAACAAAATTAACTTTGCATTTAATAAACATGATACAGCATACTGTACTATATACAAAATGTGAAGGATTTGAAGGCTTTTACACAAAAGTGTTGTGTAAGAAACAAAATGAAAAAGTAAAATTAAAAATATTTCCTGTTATCAGGGACAGAAAGCCTGTACTTAAGATAATCGACATCTCTCAAGGCTAACTATTGACCTTCCCCAGGATGAAAGCAACAACAATTGCCTAACTCCTGGGTACCTATTTAACTACAAAGTGAAAAGGCATCAGGTAAAAGAAAATGTGCCCACCCATTTCTGTCCCACCAGGCACTGACCCTTGGTCCCTCAACTGTAAAATGAGGACATAAACCACTGTACTACAGGGCAAAGTGTATTTATTGAAGCACTTCAAAAACGAAATTAGATTACAAGAGATAAGTCCAAGGGTTGTCATGGTAAAGGAATCTCTCTGTGTAAATACCTCTGGTTCAATTATTATTTTTCCGAGTAATATGAACATATTGCAAGGAAGGAGATAAACACCACCAACCTTTGAACCATAATGCTGTAGAGTTGTGGAGTGATATTTAGATCATTTCCTATGGCCAACTTCCACACTTTCCCCCTCACACACGAAGGAAGGCCTTGCCACCACAATTCACGGCATTTTTTGTGTGAGTGCCTGGAAAGATAGTTACATGCACATAATTTACAAAATAAAATCAAACTATTTTTTTTATAACCAGAATAAAAATAGCAAACTTTATTTGTAACAACTTATACAAAGTGTTACAATTATGGCTGAACTATACAGGTGTACAGCAGTGTAAATTCTAGATTAAATGAAATTTAATCCCATAAATGAAATAACATTTAGCTTACAACTCGAATGGTGAAATATATTGGTCAAACAATGTGTAGTTTACCATTAGAGCAGTGAAACAGATATTGGTAAACTATACAACATAAAATTAAGGTGATGAAAAAACACGGTGAAGATCTAATATAATTGAAAGATTTTAAAGATTGGAGGGGACCTAAATATTCCCTCTAATGCGTTATGTGTGGTTTCCTCCGAGGCTAAGGGTTCTCCTTCTTCCAGCCAGAGGTGGTACTCCCATCCTTAATTTAAAGATTGTCTTTATTTTTTCATATTTTATTCTATATTTCTATCTCTCTCATAAATAAGAATGAGTTATGGAAGAAACATGTCTAGCCATAGCAAAAAATATTTTCACAAATAGATGTACTGTACTACAGTATATTGTTTTTATTGCAAGATATGCCTGGCATGTGTACCAAGGATATCTTCTTTCATCAGCTATCAACAAAATTTATATTAAGTAATGCCCAAAACACTTTGCATATTAGTTACATTATGTAATATAAAATTACTCTGTCAATTAATAAACCACTATAACATGTTTTATGTATGTTTAATAAAATTTTTTTTTAATTATTAAGTACCACTGGCTCTGTGGTATCAGGATAATTTTATCAAATATACTGTACTATCATATCTACCTATCTATGGTGCCTTGTCTGCTCTGGACTTGTGTAAAATTGTTCAATTGTCTAACAATTCTTCAAGTATTAACACTATCGCACACCGTGCGGGCGCGCCACAGACTGTGATGTCATGGTCCCAACGTTTTGGGAGAGCGCGCGGCGACACCAAAAAGTCTATACTTGTTTCAGTTTTCTCACCTTAATTCTCGTGCTACGTTGTTCGTTTTGGTATCATTGTGTTCGCAATAGAATTCCCTATAGGGGTATATGCACATAAGGTCCATAAGCCTGCTGTGACTCCCCATAGCAAAGTCTAAAGTCGACCACACCTGCAGAGTTATGTATATACTGTACTCGTTCAGTTTGATAACACCAATTTTTGTGTTACGTGTTTCATTTTGGTATCAAATTGTTTGCAAAATAAATGCGCGTATTTTAAAACTAGTCCCATAATAACAGAGCAATAAAAGGAATTTTAACAAATATTTTAACATTTGGACGCTCATCACCACAAAATTATTTATATATTTCCAGTGTTCTGACACCAATTTTCGTGTTACGTCTTTCATTCTGGTATCAAATTGTTCGCAATATAAAGGCGCGTATTTTAAAACTAGTCTCATAATAATAGAACAATAAATGGAATTTTAACAAATATTTTAACTTTTGAACACTTTTTGACGCTCGTCACCACAAAATTATTAATATCTTTCCAGTGTTCTGACATCAATTTTCATGTTATGTCTTTCATTTTGGTATCAAATTGTGCGCAATCTAAAGGCGCTCATTTTGAAACCACCCAGAAGTTGATCAAATAAACATTGAATTTTTTACAAATATTTTAATACATGACAAGCCATAGTCACCAGCTCAGAATCAGGAGAAAAATGAGTGATGACGAGTGGCGGCCGCCGAGTGCAATCGTGTTAAAATGCATACTGAAGGATCATTACACAAATTCTCAAGGAATTTCATACACCACCTGTATACAGTATTATGTTTTCGCTTCATGATCTTATTACCACTTGTCTAAAATTTACAGAACAAATAGTGTTAATTTTGATGTTTTGAATGGGCATTATGAAACAAAATGTAAACAATACATTATAAAGTGAACTAAAAGATTTACCTTCATAAAAAAAAAAAAGATACAACTTGCCATTTCAAGTTCTACTTGTGAGGTACAGTACACATACTGTGCCCCACTTGTGAGGTACAGTACACATATTGTGCCCTACTTGTGAGGGTTGTCCAGTTGTCTGTGCATGGGAGGATTGAGGGTTTGCGCGCTCCGTGAACTAACTTCAATATGTTCTGTCATATTAGGATTACAGTGATAGAACACAGATCACAGTTATCACAATGTGTAAAACCACATTTAGGAAAGGAAAAAATACAGTGCTGCCATTAGAATTGTGTGTTTAAGAGAGAATAACCACCTCTCACTAGCTCACATGGAAGTGTAGTGCCTACACGAGGCCCATGTCGCCCATGTCTACATATACTTATCTCTGTATACTTAGACTATAGTGAACAGTGATACGGTGAACAGTGAACAGTAACAAAACAGGCTAAAGGCTTGAAAGTGTAGGAAAATTGCCACGTGGAAATTTTGGAACGTATAATTCAGTGAATGGTGAGGCAACACACACACACACACACACCAGACTCTGTGTACAGGGGCCACGAGGTTTGATCTGTGTACACACACGGTAGGCTGTGAAGGGTCACTCCCCCCCCCCTTTACCACTGGTCAACAATCACCGGTCCACTGCCTTACCACCACCACTGACCAGAAGCATTATGGTCAGAATGCCTTTAGTAAAGATGTGCACCGAATGCAACAAGAAAGTATATTACCACCAGAGCTTCCAGTGCCAACTATGTTCAGCAGCCACACACAGTAACTGTGCCAACATGTCAAATAATGCCAGGAGAATTGGTCCCAGAGACCACTGGGTGTACTGGTTCTGCAAAAAGGATAATACAGTATTACTGTCTTGAAGATGATCACAATTCTTGATAAAACCCCAGCAGAGCACAAAGAATCACTTCTAACTGCCTGCATGGAAATCTCCAATGTTTTCAAACAAATTGTCAAGGACACCCAGGTAGAACCAGAATTGGAGCTACATCTCAGCTCGCCGGGATCTGGATTGGCGCCGGGGCCTGATACGACGTTGGCGCTGGAGTTGGATGCGACGTTAGCATCAGGGCCAGCTGCGATGTTGGCTTCGGGGCAGGATGCGACGTTGGCGTCGGGGCTGGATGCGACATTAGCGCCAGGGCTGAATGCAATGTTGGTGCCGAGGCCTGGTTGATACCTGGTTGATGGGGTTCTGAGAGTTCTTCTACTCCCCAAGCCCGGCCCGAGGCTAGGCTTGACTTGAGAGAGTTTGGTCCACCAGGCTGTTGCTTGGAGCGGCCCGCAGGCCAACATACCCACCACAGCCCGGTTGGTCCGGTACTCCTTGGAGAAAACAGTTTAGTTTTCTCTTGAAAATGTCCACGGTTGTTCTGGCAATATTTCTTATAGTCACTGGTAGGCCGGATGCCATGCTGGCGTCAGGGCCGGATGCTATGCTGGCACCGGACGTGACGTTGGGGTCGGTTGCAGTATCAGCGCCTGAACCGGGCGTGATATTGGCGCCAGGGTTTTTGAAACAAACAAAACAAGGACCCAAAATCTGCCAATATTATAAATGAGGTATCTGTAAGCATGGGATATTGGGGAGAACAAATGGACTATGTGAATATGATCATCCCAGAAAGTGCAGGACCCTTCTTAGTACAGGTAAATGTACCAAAAGCTGTGATCTCTTTCACCCAGAACTGTGCAAGAACTCTTTATATAAGAATGAGTGTTTCAACACAGAATGTCCAGCTTTTCATATAAAAGGTACCAAGTGAATAAGACCGACAAACCACCTCGATGAAAGCAGCAACAACACTATTTAACAGGATGATTTTTTAGCAAGAGGAGGAGGAGGAGGAGAAGAATGGCTAAAAATGTCCAGACTATACCACCAACTCGGTCAAATGCTAGAGAGGACGCAAACACAGTGGCCTCTTTACCAGAGCCTCAGATATTAACACCAAGTAAAACATCCAGCATTTCCACAAACATAACATTTTTATTTGCCAACATTCAGGGTATAAAAACATGCAAATGTAACAGAGCACTTCAGAGATGGCCTCTTACATGAGGCAAATGCAGTGTTTGCAGCCCTAACGGAAACTCACACCAAGGACTACCATGATAGTGAAATATGGATTTCGGAGCACAATCTTTTCAGATGTGACAGGAAACACAGGCTACAGGGTGGGGTCAGCCTGTACATTAAGGACACACTCATCTGCACTGAGCTGCTAAACACCACAAATGATATGGTGGAAGTGCTGATAATCAAAAGAGAGATCTTAACTGTAGTTATTGTCCTTGTATACAAGTTACCGGAGGCAAATGATCAGCAGTTTAAAGACCAACTAATGAAAATAGAACACTGCTTAGAAAATCTCACAAATCCAGCCCCAAACATCATCCTGCTTGGGGACTTCAACCTACGGCACCTGAAATGGAAGACCATAGCTGATACAGTTGTATCAAAGGTAATTCTGGGAAGTACTGTGCCCCACCCGTGAGGTGCGGTACACGTACTGTGCCCCACTCGTGAGGTGTGGTACACGTACTGTGCCCCACTCGTGAGGTGCGGTACACGTACTGTGCCCCACTCGTGAGGTGTGGTACACGTACTGTGCCCCACTCGTGAGGTGTGGTACACGTACTGTGCCCCACTCGTGAGGTGTGGTACACATACTGTGCCCCATTCGTGAGGGGCAGTACACGTACTGTGCCCCACTCGGGAGGTGCGGTACACATACTGTGCCCCACTTGGGAGGTGCGGTATACATACTGTGCCCCACTTGGGAGGTGCGGTACACATACTGTGCGGTACACGTACTGTGTACGTACACATGCAGGTGCGGTACACATACTGTGCCCCACTCGGGTGGTGCGGTACACATACTGTGTGGTACACGTACTGTGTACGTACACATGCAGGTGCGGTACACATACTGTGCCCCACTCGGGTGGTGCGGTACACATACTGTGCCCCACTCGGGTGGTGCGGTACACATACTGTGCCCCACTCGGGTGGTGTGGTACACATACTGTGCCCCACTCGGGAGGTGCGGTACACATACTGTGCTCCCACTCGGGAGGTGCGGTACACATACTGTGCTCCCACTCAACGTACCCCGGTTCACATCTCCTGCTAGCTCGCACACTCGGGAGGTGCGAATTTACTCACTGTTCGACGAACAACTCGCCGAAGCGAGGGATGTTCATATTTGCTTACGATCGTCCAGACAGTTCACAGACTGGTGGAAACTTTCCCATTCTATAACAGATTACAATTAATGTTCCCCACTCGACAAGTTGGATCACACAAGTGGATCACACAAGTGGACCACACAAATGGACCACACATGTGGACCACAAGTGGTCCACAAGCTTACGATTTTGAGACAGAGTTCACAGAGTGGTGGAAAACTTTCTCATTCTATCACAGATTACAATTAATAATTCCTTCATAAGAAGTTGGATCACACAAGTGAACCATATGAACCAAACACCAGCCAAACTGCCTGCCTGCCTGCCTGCCTGCCTGCCTGCCTATCCACCCACCAGTCAGCCATCACTGACACAATGAGTGCATTTGGAGCCAACATGGTGCACGGATGTTCCTTGATTGTGCCGATATGTTCAACAAAGTCGCAGAATGAACGCTCCAGCCTCTTGACAAATCAAAATATCGTGTTAAAATTAAAGTTGCAGTAATTTTAGTGTACAATAGTTTTCATAAACTTTATTGTAGTACTCAACATACAACAGAACTACTCAACACAGTGTTAACGGCATAATACACTACAGTACTGTATGTATTTACTGTACAGCATTCATGAGCACAACTCCATGAGACTTCAAGATGGACTTAACTCCAACAGTAAGGTAAATAACAAATGTAACAGTATTTGTTAGTAGAGTAATAATATATAGGTACAGTATATAATATGATAATGCATTTTTATTGTCTACAAGAAAAATAAAGACACTGATGCAAACGCCTCCTGAAGGTCACCTCTTGCAACGAATCCAATGCTCCAACGAACTGGGGTCGGTCCCATATAGTACGTTGAATCGAGGTGCCCCATTCGCGAGGGGCATACTGTGCCCCATTCGTGAGGGGCAGTACACGTACTGTGCCCCACTCGGGAGGTGCAGTACACGTACTGTGCCCCACTTGGGAGGTGCGGTATACATACTGTGCCCCACTTGGGAGGTGCGGTACACATACTGTGCGGTACACGTACTGTGTACGTACACATGCAGGTGCGGTACACATACTGTGCCCCACTCGGGAGGTGCGGTACACATACTGTGCCCCACTCGGGAGGTGCGGTACACATACTGTGCCCCACTCGGGAGGTGCGGTACACATACTGTGCCCCACTCGGGAGGTGCAGTACACATACTGTTTGTGTATACCTCCCAAGTGGGGCAAGTATCTCCCAAGTACCCCATACTGTGCTCTGCTTAACAGGTATAGTACTCACATAGTATCCCACTTTGGTAATATTTCATTATTCCAAGTGGCAACAGCTGCTGCTAACTGCTCTTCCTGACGCTGCAAGGTGGCCTGTGCTTTTTTCCGTTCCTTAGCTTCGCGTAATTCTGCAATATGCAAATTATATATTATAATTCACCCAAGTATTTAGCATGGAAACACGAATAACATGTTTTATTAGTATACATTACAGGTTTTAACAAAATCATTAATGAAAGCTTAAATTTAGAGTAAATTATAGTGTTTAGCATAGTATCATGAATAAAAATCTATCTCATCTGTTTAACACATTTTAGGTTATTAGGGATATCACTTATTCTATGAATTGGCTTTGTAATGATTATTTAACAGGAATACCAACAAAATTATTTCATAGGCAAAGGGAAGAACATTGTACAGGTATTATTTTTACAAAATAAGATTGTTAATTAGAATACCTAGACCACATTGAAATCACAAGAACATGATATATCTATGAGAAAAGTTAAATTTGTAAGCCCATTTGTAAGTCCAACTGGTAGTACATGTGCCTGAGGAGTTGAGGGAGGAATGAGGGCTCAAGCCCTTTTATATGGCTTCATTATTTTATTCATATATATTTATTTATTTATTTATTTACCAGTATTTATTTATTTCAATCATCAGGGCACTAAGAGACGCGAACCACCAACCCCACAAGTGGGAAACAGAAGTTCTATCCACCATACTATGAGCAGACTTAATAAGGAAAGATTCCAGAAGCAACTAACTGTTCCAGTTGGGAATAATTGCTCTGTGCTTTAGTAGCAGTCAGGGCAATACTGACTGCTATTAAAAAAATATATAACTAAATACAGAGGTCAAGTGAGCATCATCACACTGAAGAGTCACACTGCTGCAGGCTCCAGGATAATTCAAATTATCTAAGTGTCAGGAGTAGTGTGAGGGGTTGCAAGTGGTGTCCCAGAATACATGAAGGGGTAGGACATTTGAAAATAAACTAAGAGATAAGAAATAGGTGTTAATGAATGAAAAATCTTGGGTAGAAAAGTTGATTTTTCAAAACAGCAGAACGTCAACAAAGATGGCCACCACCACAGGGGAAGACAGTACCCCACCAAAGGGATCTTTTGCAGGTTTCTCACAACAAGATACCATGAAAGGTGGTTTTCTTAGCAGGTTAGTGATCATTGAGGACTTTCTAAAGAATTAGGAAGACAAGATTATTAAATTAGAAGAAGGAAATTAAGGTCTCAAGATTAAGTTTTGTAATTTAAAAGAAAGTATTTTCCAGCAAGGTAAGGAAATTTCCAGCTTGACTGATAAGGTAAGGATGCAGGAGGTACATCAAGGAAATAGTAAGGGATAATCTTGAGGTTATCTTGAGATGATTTCGGGGCTTTTTAGTGTCCCCGCGGCCCGGTCCTCGACCAGGCCTCCACCCCCAGGAAGCAGCCCGTGACAGCTGACTAACACCCAGGTACCTATTTTACTGCTAGGTAACAGGGGCATAGGGTGAAAGAAACTCTGCCCATTGTTTCTCGCCGGCGCCTGGGATCGAACCCAGGACCACAGGATCACAAGTCCAGCGTGCTGTCCGCTCGGCCGACCGGCTCCCATTAGCCGACCGGCTAATGAGGCATGGAAAGTGAAGAGTAGGGAATTTGAAGAAATTAACAAGAAAATAGACTCATATGGTGAACAACTCCAAAGGAGTCTGAGGGCTAGCATGGAGTTAGGCAAGGAGATGCAACGAGAAACTTCATTGGCAGTTCAAATAGAGGAAGCTAATAAAGAACTTTAAAAGTATAAAAAAGAAATAAGAGAGACATATGCACAAGTTGTAAAAGAGAAAGAGACAATCAAGGAAGTGTGTTTGAAAGCCAAAACCAGAAATGACCAACAAGAAGCAGAAATTAGGCAAGCAATTAGGATAGAACTGGTTACCAACAGTAAACTAGTACAAAACACTGCAGATAGAAGTCCATAATAATTTTTGGATGTTTAGAGAGGGAAATTTCATCTAAAGTGGACTGAGCAGCAGAAGAGATGAAAAAGAGAAAATAGTAGGTTTAGAAGAAGGTTCAAAGGGAAAATGTCAGTGATTTTAGAAGAATAGGAAAATATGAGAAAAGACAAGAACCGCCCCTTAAGGATGACGTTTAATGAGTTAAAAACATGATGGAAGTGCTTAGAAATGCCAGAAAATTGCAGAGTGATGAGGTTGGCAAACTTTGGTCAATAAGACAAGACCTCTCAAAGGATGACAGAGAAAAGCTGAAAATGAACCTAATTGAAGCAAAATGTCTAAATGGGGATAGAAATGAAGAAAAAAAAATTTCTACAAAGAGTCAGGGACTGGAAAGCTTGTGAAATGGTACATAAAAAAAGGCAACAAAATCAGTAGTGGAAGGGGGAGTAAAGAACAAAGGGAAAGGGAACATGTTCCTGAAAATTGTATATACCAACATAGATGGAGTAAGGTCAAAAACTTTGGAGTTGCAAGATATAATTCAACTTAGGGTCCCAGATATTGTTGCATTATCAGAGACGAAACTTGAAGGAAATATATTAAATGAAATGAAGTCATATTCCCAAGGGGCTACTCAGTTTGGAGACATGACAGGAAAACTAAGAAGGGAGGAGGAGTGGCTGTGCTGGTGAAAGAACACCTGAAGGTAAGAGAGTTAATATTTAAAAACTCTCGAGATATTGACATAATGGCATTGCAGGTCTGGAATCAGGATGATAAGCTGATAATTTTAAATGCCTACAGCCCACCAGCAAGCAACACGTGGACAAAAGAAGAACTGGATGACAAATGAGAGGGCCTCATGATGGTAATGAGAGATATTATTGTACAAGCAGATAAAGATAAATCCCGACTGTTGATACTGGGGGACTTCAACTTTAAAGCAATAGGCCTATGAAGCAAAAACGGAGGACTTTTGGACATGCAGATTTGTGAACTTCATTCTGGAGACATTCTTGTATGAACACACAAAGCAGGCCACAAGAATGAGGGAAGGAGATGTACCGTCAGTACTGGATCTAGTATTCACCAGGAAAGAAGAAGATATTTGACATCCAGTACCTTCCTCCCTTGGGAAAGCGTGATCACGTCCTGTTAGACATTAAATATGCTTTACGATATCATCTAGAAGAAAATGGGGACATTGAAACGGTTGATAAACTCAATTTAAAGAGAGGTCACTATGGGGAACTTCGAAATAATTTTAACGAGCGTAATTGGACAGACTTGTTGCTAGGCAGGGAAGTAAATGAAATATATGCCAAATTTTGCAAAATATACGATGAAGGCACACAAACATACCAAAACTGAGATGCAGGGCCAGAAAACAGGATTCGTTCAACACAAATTGCGAAAGGAACAGAGACCAAAAGACACAAAAATGGAATCAATATAGGAAGAGGCCAAACTCCCAAACATACTAGTGATACAAAGATGCAAGAAACAACTATACGGCAGTAAGGAGAGAGGCAGAAAGAAATTTTGAAAAAGGGATAGCGGATAAATGTAAAACAGAACTGGGCCTATTCTACAAATTCATAAACAACAAATTGCAGGTAAAGGATAATATCCAGAGGTTGAAAATTGGAAACAGATTCACAGGAAATGAAAAGGAAATGAGTGACAAATTAAATGAAAAGTTCCAAAATGTGTTTATACAAAATGAAATCTTCAGAGAACCAGACACAATAAGAATTCCAGAGAACATAGAGCATATAGAGATGTCTAGAGATGAAGTGGAAAACATGCTAAAGGAGCTAAGTAAGAACAAACCAGTTGGCCCAGATGGAATTTCACCATGGGTTCTGAGAGAATGTGCATATGAGCTCAGCTTTCCACTTCACCTGATCTTCCAGGCATCCCTGTGTACAGGAGTCATAGCAGATGTGTGGAAAAAGGCTAACATAGTTCCAATCTACAAAAGTGGCAGCAGGGAAGATCCCCTCAATTATAGACATGTATCATTGATAAGTGTAATAGTGAAAGTATTGGAAAAAATAATAAAAACTAAATGGGTAGAACACCTGGAGAGAAATTATATAGTATCAGACAGACAGTATGGTTTTCGATCTGGAAGATCCTGTGTATCGAATTTACTCAGTTTCTATGATCGAGTCACAGAGATTTTACAGGAAAGAGATGGTTGGGTTGACTGCATCTATCTGGACCTAAAAAAGGCTTTCGACAGAGTTCCACATAAGAGGTTGTTCTGGAAACTGGAAAATATTGGAGGGGTGAAAGGTAAGCTTCTAACATGGATGAAAAATTTTCTGACATAGAAAAATGGGGGCAGTAATCAGAGGCAATGTATTGGACTGGAGAAATGTCACAAGTGGAGTACCGCAGGGTTCAGTTCTTGCACCAATGATGTTTATTGTCTACATAAATGATCTGCCAGTTGGTATACAGAATTATATGAACATGTTTGCTGATGATGCTAAGATAATAGGAAGGATAAGAAACTTAGATGATTGTCATGCCCTTCAAGAAGACCTGGACAAAATAAATATATGGAGCACCACTTGGCAAATGGAATTTAATGTTAATAAATGCCATGTTATGGAATGTGGAATAGGAGAACATAGACCACACACAACCTATAAGTTATGTGAGAAATCTTTCAAGAATTCTGATAAAGAGATCTAGGGGTGGTTCTAGATAGAAAACTATCACCTGAGGACCACATAAAGAATGTTGTGCAAGGAGCCTATGCCACACTTTCTAACTTCAGAATTGCTTTTAAATACTGTACATGGATGGTGAAATACTAAAGAAATTGTTCACGACTTTTGTTAGGCCAAAGCTAGAATATGCAGCGGTTGTGTGGTGCCCATATCTTAAGAAGCACATCAACAAACTGGAAAAGGTGCAAAGACATGCTACTAAGTGGCTCCCAGAACTGAAGGGCAAGAGCTACAAGGAGAGGTTAGAGGCATTAAATATGCCAAAACTAGAAGACAGAAGAAAAGGAGGTGATACAATCACTACGTACAAAATAGTAACAAGAATTGATAAAATCGATAGGGAAAGACTTCCCGAGACCTGGAACTTCAAGAACAAGAGGTCATAGATTTAAACTAACTAAACACAGATGCCAAAGAAATATAAGAAAATTCACTTTCGCAAACAGAGTGGTAGACGGTTGGAACAAGTTAGGTGAGAAGGTGGTGGAGGCCAAGACTGTCAGTAGTTTCAAAGCATTATAAAACAAAGAGTGTTGGGAAGATGGGACACCACGAGCGTAGCTCTCATCCTGTAACTACACTTAGGTAATTACACTATATATATTGGTTTATTCCAATTTTTTTTTTATACATCAAGTGTTTAACAAAGGGTCTAAGACCTGAGAAAAGTATACAACCCCCTTATGTCATCGCTACTCTATAAACAAAAAGCCAAAACTAAACCAAACCAAACAAAACCTAACAAAAATAACAGATAAAATTATGTTTTATATATGGCATGCACCAGGTATGTGACATCACAATGATGTCAAAATATGCATGCCGGTACAGCTTTTTTAGATCTTACCGGTTAAAAGGGCAACTATGTTTATATCTCAATACCTGTATATACACTAAATTAGCAACATACAGTCCCTGTATTGCAATATAATCAAATACTGTATATAAATTTCAGCCAAAACTTAAAACCTTTTTTCTTGGCCGCAGAAACCATCTGTTGGTACTCCTGCCGGTGTTTGAGCTGTTCGTAAGCCGTTTTTGCCGGGAGGTTGGTGGGGCGATTCTCCATTATAAGCCCAGCACTGCCTGCTTCCAGATCACTGTTGCGGACCTGTGGATATGAGCAACCTGTCACTATGATGCTTACACAGGGCATATAATGTTTACACCACAGGATGGTCATAGAGTATATGAGACTTATACAGAGTATGTGATATTTACACTGTAGTAAATTAATCATCAAAAGAAAGCCTCAAGCTTACATTGTAGTAAGTAATGTATTGAAATTTTTGTAAATACCGTAGTTTGAAACCTTCAGATATTATGCTCCTGCATTTTTAATTACAGACTAACCTGGAGCTTGAAACTAGCAAGACAACATATTAATTTAAAAGCTGGCTATGGAATAAGAACAGCCTAATAGAGATATAAATGATGTGAGAATGGAAAATAACGGAGGACTGTTGACAAGATGAAAGGATAATCGCAGAGGCTATTTAGGTGAAAGAGAAGGTATTACTGAATAGCATGGAGCTCAGCAAGGGTTGGATTGCTTTACACATATTGCTCCAATTGCTCATTTGCAATTAACTCTTGTGCTTCAAGTCAGTTTATTGAGATAATAAAGTACATCCCAAAACAATAAAGTGTGCTTTAAGCTATTTCTACCCTTCTCTATTTCTGATCATTCAAGAAGCTCACAAATCCATGCAGTAGACAAATAATCCTATGCTTCAATCACCGTATGTAATTTTGTACATTTGATTTGTAGCCTATGTTTTGTTGTGCACCCTCACGATGAATGATTTTTAATAGGCGAGTATTTAAAGGATTAAAGAGACTACACTAACCAATCTCTTGTGTGGTGTATAACAGTGTCTTGAGTCGTCTTCAAAATATATTACGGTATTATGATTTATAGTTTGACAGGTATTATTTTACATCAATCACCAATTCAGCAATGT